GACGTCTTAGGCTAGTATCCTCATGTGTATCTTATCGCCTACGACGGCAGACGTACGCTAGCCGCAGCGCGAGAGTTGGGCGGATATATCCGACACTCGTCCGCAACGGTAAAAAGGCTTGGGCGGATATATCCGCCGCTCGTCCGCAAAAGGTTAAGTTTGTTTTAATAAAAATGTAATAACACTAAAATATTACGTTTTACAAAATGTGTACATATTGCTTAATCTACTAACATTTACAGAAAATCTCGCATTTTATAACCTTATTTTTACACACAATTGTTAAAATAACTTATATATTTTTCTTTTATTGTACAAAGCGCTTGCTTACATTATGACTTATTTGGACGGAAAACATATATACAATTTTAACTCTTATTAATACGTTTAAAATATACAAACTATTTACAAGAGATGCGCGGAAAAAAGTCTTATTCTAAGTAGCCGTATGGAACGGAGCGTCGCTCGTCGATAAATCTACGCTTCAGCAAAACCGGCGAGCAGATTTTTGATTCGTCCCGCGTCACAACCTCGTGAAATGCGGTGCGACGAATCGCTCTAAAATGCAGATTTATCGACACATTTTCTTCTTTTCTCTCTCTTCTCATTAACATTTCCCTAACGTTATTGAAATTAATTATGCGGGAGGTTGCGGAATTGAGAGTTATTCCCTTGATTTTACACACTTCCCGCGCGCCACCGTCCGGAGTACGAACTACGTACGCGTAAAATTTCGGGCCACCGGATACAAACAACTCGATGTAACTACCACGGCCGTAGCCTTCGAGCTCGTCCGTTATATCGCCCAGGAAATTTCCCGTACGCGGTTTGTATTCACCGGGTTCTCCGCTGCTCACATAAATACACGAATCTGTATCGTAATGAAGAACGCGCTCGCCTAAACGTTCTAAATATTCGTACAGTTTTAATCGCGCCTGTGCCGTCGTGTACGCCGCTATTATCACGTTGGTAATCGGAGAGAGTACGACCGCCTCGTCCCGCATTCGCCACGAAACATATATTACCTCGTCATTCACAGGTAATATATCGGTTACCTCGTGCTCGGGGCTCGACAATAGCGATACGAGACGTTCCTGCGACTTTACCACCTCGGTACTCGTCAAGTTCGATCGTTGCCCGAATTTTCCCCAAAACGAATTAAGGCACAGCTTTGCGACCGAGCGTAAACCCGGATTTTGCGCAATGTTTGCTCTATCTAAAGCGATACCCTCGACTGCTTCGTATTCTCGAAGATATCGTTCTTTAGATTGGTCGTCCACGCATTCGCTCGGCCATCCGCTCGCCTCTTGCTTCAATTTGAGAAAACAGTTTATGTATTCGGCAAATAATCCCCCCTGACGCGTATCAACGTCGTATTGGCTCGTCTCGTATTGCCATATCTCGCTCACTGCAGTCACGAGATAACCCTTCTCCACAGCTTTGCGTAATGCACACAATACCCACACGCCTTCGAATTCACGATCGCGCGGATTTTCGTGCGAGCACTGTGTCTGCGAGAAGTTTTCGCAGCAACTGCGGCACAAGGCAAACAGTAGTTTGCTCTGCACGCGGTACGGGAGTACAGGGTGAAAGAGATTGCGCGGAGGAAGCACTCTACAACGCACAAGCCCCTCGACCGCGAAAAAATCGACACCGGGCATCGCTCCGATGAGCGAGGAGCACTCTTTTTGTCCGACAAGAATTTTCGGATGTCCAATCGGGAAAGCGCCCGTTTTCAACACGTAAGGGTATAGAGAACACACGTCTAACATACGTAACGTATTTTCTCCGTACCCGTAACTTCGCGCCAAATCGCGATGTTTCCCGTTTGACCGCCGAAAAACGCGTCACGCGGTGAAAGCGGTTCAACCGCGAGCATCGGATGTTGGTCTAAAAACGCTCGCATTTCGCGATTTTCCCGCGTATCGCGATCAAAAGCGCACTCCCATTTCTCCGTCACGATGTACCCTTGTTTGCGAAGACGCCATGACGTTGTCAGTGTACGCTCGTATCGCGAGTTCATCGTGTCGTACACTTCGCGTTCTCCCGTGCAGAGACGTTTGTCGCGTTCCGTTTTAAAACACACGGGACATCCGTGCCAAAAGTAGCCGTGGTATTGCAACACGTGACGCTCACCGTTCGCCGTCTCGTAATACCCGTCGACGGGATGCCTCCGACTTCCGCGAGACAATGTTCTCGCCCGTGACCCGCGTGAACAATGATGTGGCCGAGCTCGCGCTCTTTCCACACCAGCCACTGCAGAGCTTTGCGGGATTGCGTATCCGCGAGGCGATATCCGCAAGGAATGACGCCGATCTCTCCCTCACGTAAAAAGTTTTTGCGGAAAACGCGCATACATGTGGAAGCGATGGTCGTGCATTCTTCAAACGGACATACGTTTCCGCTCTCGAAAAATATCTTGCGGAAGGCCATGCACGCTCGCCGCAAAATATCAACGTCGTTACGACAATAACAAACTATCTCGCGTTGAAAGTCAAAAACTGCGTTTTCGCGCATCTGTTCCGCGTGCCACGACAAAAAACGTTCGCGTTCTTCGCTAGACATACTATCCGGNGAGTAATATTCAACGGCTGGTAACGGACCGACGTACGACTGATTCGCGAGTGTGTTAAATAAATGCGGAAAATATCCCTTTTCCACCCCACCCCGCAAACCGGAAGCCTTCGGCAGAACTGACAAACGCATTGGCATATAGTTGATACTGTCAATAAGTTTCGTACGCCCGGCCGTTAATACGACGATCTTCGTCCCGTTTAATATTACTCGTAGATCCAAATCGACACGTTTTTCCGTGATGTAACGAAGGATGAACTGCGCGTCAAACGCCTTGGCGTTGTGCACAATGCAGATAATCTGCTTGAAACATTTCGTCGTTCTTGTAACGAAATCGACGAATTGCCTCACCGGATCATCGCGGAACACGAATTCGCGCACACCGCACCACCGGCAACGTATCGTCATGTCGTCTTTGCCCGCACACGCGACGCAAATCTGCTGTGCGACGCAAAGAGTGAGCACGTGAATTTTCACAGACGCTGTACCTTTGAACGTCTCATCCTGTCGGGTCTCAAAATCGTAGAACACGAATGCGACGCGCGCGTTTTTCCCTTTGCCGGTGAAATCCTCGCGTGCAAGAGGTCGAATATAACAAAGATGGTTTACATCTTGATGCGAACTGCAAATGTTACAAAACACGACGCTGCATTCGTGCCTCGCACCCGCTGTTCTGTACAAACGCCCGCAATCGTCACAAAATTGCAACGCGCTGCACACGCTCACGCGACCGTCTCCGTACGATTTTTCGGCTCGGTGACGCTCGAAACATTCGCGCCCGTAAAACATTCTTTTACATTGCTTGCATCGAATTAATTCTATTTCTTCTGTTTCGCACAACGGCACACCGCGACAACGCGGACATTTATGCGAGCATCGATGAACTCCTCGTTCGGGACGATAAAGCAGGTTGCAAGGAATGCAATATCCCTTGCTCCCTGCCGCCACTCTTAAATTTAAAATCGGGCAATAGTGACGCGAACCCTCGCAATAAAGAATATTTAAACGTAGCAAGGATTCGCTTCCGAGAGAGGCGAGCAACGCACCACCGTCGTACAACGGTTTTCNGCCTTTCGCGAAAGTAGACGAGGCGTAAACAATTATAGCTAATCCCTCCCCGACAAGGTACCGTTGAAATCGCTCAATTTCCCCAATNCCACAGCCCTCCTCCGGAATTGTGACGCCTGCTCTCTCCACCAACTTCTGTGCCCATTGGCGTTGTAAGGAGGAGTTCGAACGTCTCATTGCATTCCAACGCTCATGTAGCTCGCCCGTGCGGATGTTACCTCGTTCGAGGTATACCCGAGCGGCAACGAGTGAGCGAGGGAAACAGAGGTTGTCGCTATTCGTTATTGAAAAAATCGAGCGTTTCTCGATTCCTTCCGCGCCCAAAGAACGGCCTCTTTTGCCCGACGGAGAGTGAACGGTGCATACGCGTATCGTAAACGACGTAGCGATGTCTATCCCTCCGTTACTTTGCGCAACCGAACTCACGAGAGACCAAATATTCTCGTGAGTCAAGTCACGCGCAGGACGAAAAGAAAGACCCGCTGCACCGTTGGTCAAAGTCGGGGAGTCGAAC